ATGAATTTGTATAGAGTTTTTGGTGTGGGAAGTAAAGAATATGCCTACGTATTTATTTAAAAAAATTCTGGAATTTTGGGTTTTTTTTTTCCTTTTTTTTTTATTGCTGATGTCATTATGACATTAGTATTGCATCATTCTACCCAGGCAGCAGTTCGGGCTGAATTTGCCCATGGGCTTGGCTGGGCTCGTGGGACCCAGCTCTTGCCAGGGCTGGCCGTTGCGCGCTGGAGCTGCTTCCTTCCCCCCTGGCCTGCCTTTTGCCCGGTTTTGAAGCAATGGTGGACTTGCTCTAAAGGAAACCTATTCATATGCTCAGGCAAACCAAAAAGAAAAACACCAACAAAACTATAAAATAAAGCTGACATTAGTATTGCATCATTCTGCCCAGGCAGCAGTTCGGACTGAATTTGCCCATGGGCTTGGCTGGGCTCGTGGGACCCAGCTCTTGCCAGGGCTGGTCGTTGCGCGCTGGAGCTGCTTCCTTCCCCCCTGGGCTGCCTTTTGCCCGATTTTGAAGCAAGGGTGGACTTGCTCTAAAGGAAACCTATTCATATGCTCAGGCAAACCAAAAAGAAAAACACCAACAAAACTATAAAATAAAGCAGCATTCAGCTTTGTCCAATCAATTCCCAATAAGGTAATGCTGATAAAAGGTGAGTTTCTTCAGATTCATTCATGTAGTAAATCAAGAGTGGTATCACTTTTTAAAGGAGGATTTTGGAATTGATGCCTTATAGAGAGAGATAGTTGAATGGTAATGTAAAAGGGTTCAGATGCTTTGCTTATATATATTTTTGTGATGATACAGTTTCATGGACACAAGTATTGTTTGAGATTTTCATTTAATTCTCCTTAAATTTTGAATTGAAGCATAAATTGAGGTTAGTCAAAAATAAAAAGGAAAAAGGAAAAGAGAAGGACACATGAAGAGACATGCATAGAGAACTTGACCTCAAAAAGAGAAAAAGCAAAGAGATGGGTTTACCAAACAAAGGTTGGTTAACCCCAAAACTGAAGTTGAAAAAGAGATGGGTTTTTGTTGGACGGCATGAAGCTAAGAGAATCAGCAGCCCTTTTGAAGTTGATGGAGATTAGAGTGCTACTTTATGCTATAGGATAACACCACCTACCTTCTTTTGTGAAAGAACAAAAAAAAACCCAATTGGTATTAAAATAGACAAAAAGTAGAAAAGATAGAGCTTTCACAAGAATATTAAGGCCAACATCAATTTGTGGCATTCTGTCATGATTATGCATCCTCCATATCTTTCAAGAAAGTAGTCTCTCTCTCTCTCTCCATCTCCTTAACCTGTAAGCATGATTAATTATATCATTTCATCAATAATTGGTTAATTATGTAATATTTATTGAAGTGGAAGGAGGGTATATATTTATTTACCCATGGTTTTCCTGCAAACTGAGAGAATAACAATCAGAATAGCTAGCCCTGCTACTGTCCCAACAATAATGGCCACTGTCTTCCCCACTTGGTCTTGGTTAGTGGAATCTATAGAGACACATAAAAGTAAAAGTGAAGGGAATTAGTACTATATTATTATATGCATAATTCACGAAGATTTGATTGTGTAGAATTTAAAGATGAAAGTGTAGAATTTTTCAAAGAATGAAGGTTCCCAAAAGTAAGAAGCTAAAGTTACTGGTGCCCCTTATGCTTTGGCCTTTACTTTGTTGACCTTGGGTTTGATGAATTTTAAGCCCTTTCTCTTCCAAGAATTGAAGTGTGACATGTGTTATTTTAATTCAACAGCACCATTTTGGCCCCCAGCTTAGAACTATTTTACTCTTACAAACCACATAACAAAGTTACACAAAAGTTTAACTCTCTAGGTTAACTCTCTAGGTTAACTCAAGTGGCGAGAGTGACTAGGGAAATGAGTTCGGATTAGGTTAGGTCTGGGATTCGATTCCTTGCATTTAAAAAACATTATGCAAAATGTCTTTAATTAAGAAAATGATGATCTACTTTGTGGATTTCAACCTTCTGTGAATTATTTAATAGTTAAAGACATAATTAATGGATATAATTTATGATGAAATGGCCAAAGAAAGTCTCTGTGTTTGGTGTTAATTAATGCAAAAGCAGAGTAAAAATCTCTTTTTTGTGTTGTGGTGTTTCTTTTAAGGTGTTAGGACTATGCAGGGAAATCAGTAGAAATTTTCACCTGATATATCATAGTAGCCAGATGCCCAATACCGAGCATAACACTGAGCCAGGAACACATCAACAGCTGCTGCTGATCCACACAAACTCTTCAACTTTCCCACAGCATCAGCAATGCAAGAAGAGCAGTCATTTTGGCTCATATCCCCCAAACACTGAGCAAAACCTTCAACCAAACCAGAGCTACTAACCCTAAAGCCATTTGTTCCTTGCAATTCAGCAAGCACATCATCTCTGCGCCTAAAGAATTCAACATCTTCACTCACACTACTTTTACTACATTTTCTGTACCTAAGACTTGTGTCAAGCCTCCCCAAGAAATTAACATGCTCATATCTTATGAGACAACCCTCAAGCTGCAAAGAAGCCCCATAAGAGTAGGGACAAACCAAAGTAATTTGATTTACTGCACTCTCTACACATTTTGCGCAGTCGAAAATCTTCAAGTCACCTCTGCACTGGTATAAGCCATATATGGTGCCTTCTAGTGTTGTTGAGCTTCCATTTCCAACTCCAAAATTGTTGTAAGAGACTTGAGAGGATGAGCTAACAACTGATGTTAGAAAAGAGTTGAGGTTGGCTTCAAAGGGTGAGCTTGGTTGGTACTTTTCTTGAGAGCAGCCTGCATAGATGAAGATATGGGCTTGGATTGGGTAGCCATGAATGCTAAGTGAAGAAAAGAGAAGGAAAAGCAGAGAAGAGATTATGATTCTCAGGGCTAAGATTGTTTTCTGAGTAGAGTAGTCTAGCTGAAGGTTGCTCATGACCATTTCTTTTTTTCTTCTTGTTTTTTCAACTTGGCATCACTTTCCTTTGTATTGTGGTTTGGTGATGGTGGTGTGAGAAAGGAGAGAGATTGGTTGCTTTTTCGTCTTTCTTGAATTCTCATGTGGCCACGTTCCCATTAAGAAAGGGCCTCTATTTGTTGTTCATGGGCCTACATGTGTGTGTTCTTAGTTAAAGCATCTGCTCAAAAATTCTACTTTTGACCCCAATAGAGAGTCATAAAGATAATTAACCTAAAAAAAGATAATCATAAAAATGGTAGAATTCTATAGGAAGATGCTCTATTTCTTAACCGTTAGATTAAATTGGTAGTTTGATTCTACGGTTACAAGATAGCACCTTAGAGAAAACCCTCACTACAGAGTGACTCCATAAAGATGAGCAAGCAAAGCAGACTGCTTCTTTTATTACTGGACTTGACCTTGAGATGGCCTTATATAAACTGACTTGTAACATTATGTCTAGTATTAAGAAAGGGCCTCTATTTGTTGTTCATGGGCCTACATGTGTGTGTTCTTAGTTAAAGCATCTGCTCAAAAACTCTACTTTTGACCCCAATAGAGAGTCACAAAGATAATTAACCTAAAAAAAGATAATCATAAAAATGGTAGAATTCTATAGGAAGATGCTCTATTTCTTAACCGTTAGATTAAATTGGTAGTTTGATTCTACGGTTACAAGATAGCACCTTAGAGAAAACCCTCACTACAGAGTGACTCCATAAAGATGAGCAAGCAAAGCAGACTGCTTCTTTTATTACTGGACTTGACCTTGAGATGGCCTTATATAAACTGACTTGTAACATTATGTCTAGTTGGATTGTTTGATTTTTATGATTATGATGTTGAGCAAATTTATTCTCCTTTTTTTTTATAAAAAAAATTATTAAAAAGTATATTTCATGTGAATTACATGACGAAGAAGTGACAAGAAAAAGTATGAACCTTGGCTACAAAATCCAATCCCCGTTGTTTTGCACCAACATGTTCATTATGGCATCATATTCTAATGGTTTTATTTTACTATACTTTTTGATTTGGGGTATTGGAGTAAACTAAGTTTATATTTTTTAAGTACATTCAGATAGATTACCTTCCCTAATCAATTAATTGTAACTCCATTACATAAGTGTTAACTCATATTAGGAGAACATGAGTCACAAACATTATCCTTCTTTGCACCAAATGGATTTAATTATTGATGATCATTTATTTGGTGATTTAATGTTAAGCTTTCATGGTCGCAATAGCAAAGTCTTTCTCATGCCAAGCGATGTGATAGGGAAAATTCCGACTATTAAATTTTTTAAGTTAATTTACAATCTCAATGGAAAAATCATCTCTGAATTTTCAATAAGTATTCGATCTACTTGTGTAAATAAGGCAACTGCTTCAGTTGTACTGATGTTTGATCGTAAATCAGATTTATTTGTAAATCAGACTTATTTATCAACAATGTTATATAAGGAGACTTTGTAAGGTTTCAATCATGTTATCGATAAAAACAATACTGTAACTACCCATTTTTGGAGTTATTTTTTTATGTTTCGAGTACATAATATACATAGCACATGTTATATGTGGAAATATTTTATTTTAATTTTTAAAAAGAAGTGCAGTAAGTTGGATAGTCCAAACCACATTGTTCTATGTATAGTCGCGAAATTTACAAAAATTTCTCACATTCATGAAAAGTAAAATGATTATCTTATTTTAAATACATATAAAAAAGTTATTATTAGCATTAAACAATATTGTAACCCCCATTCTTAACAAATAATTGTCTTATTATTAAAAATATATATAAACTTTTTAATTATTAGTATTTCAAAAAAATTCATAATGTTCTTAGATTGCAATCCAACAATCGAGATTAGAAGTATGTAGCGAATTCTTAAATTAAATACGAACATAATTAAATACTTATTAGAGAATCTCCTCAAATTTATTACAGACATAATTGTCAAAATCCATTGGTTTAGAGAAAAATCTGATTTTTAAGTAATTTGACTCTCAAAAATACCCTTGTACTGCTCCTCATTTTGCAACTACATCCAGTCCCCATTCTCTCCCACACCATCCCTGCCTCTGAAAGACAAGATCTTTTTCTCCCTACTCTCGTCGCCCAACACTCCCTCTCCCATCTTTCCTGTGGCGCCACCACTCCTCAGGTCAGTCCGTGAATTTCTTTTTTAATTTTGTGGAATAAATATCTGCATTCAATTTACTGTTTGTGATTATATAATTTGGATCAGATTTAGGCATTTCTTTTGTTATTCGTGGGGCATGCGTGGTCACCTGAGATTGGGGATGGCTTCCATGTCTACACAGTTTTCTGGAGGCTGTCTTCTTTTCTTAGAACATTCACAAATTTCTAATTTTTTTTCTTTTCAATGTCTGTTGAGATGATATTGGTTTTATTTATTGGGTAATGGCAATTCTTTCTTGTGTTAGATAAATTGACGAAAAAATCATTTGTTGCTTGGATGTGTGTATTGGGTATGCCGTGGATGTGTTTGTTCATTTGCTTCTATGTTCATTTTATGTAGGATATTGTTATGTTTTTATGTGCTTGAACTTGTTGATTTGGTATGTCATATTCCAACAAATTATCATTTTTTGGTAGCACACAGGCTTAAACAGTAGTTTTGTCTTCTGAGTATTTCCATTGTTTGTGTCTCTATTCGTTTCATTCACTATAATATTTCTAATGTTATTCGCTTAACGATACATGGTCAGTGCTGCCTATAGAACATCTGAAGGAACCCTTCTGTTTTCGAGAATAGTCTGGTTTGTCTATGAATTTATGATTTTTTTTCCATAGATTTTTGTGTTCTATGATTCTTCTTGGTTGGTATTTGAGATTGTTTATTTTATTTTTTTTGTTTGGTGTCAATTTCTGATTTCTAATTTAGGGGTAAAGATGATGGTTTTAAGTGTCATTGCTTGTGATCAAGCTTTTGATGTAAATGACAGTGGCTTTAAATAGCGTTTCGTTTTCTTCCTTCTCATGTGCTCATCTTTTGCACTGGTACGTACTGACTGTAGTTGAAAGAAGAAAGGAGAAGAATGTAGATTGATCCCGTGTAAATGCATTATTTTAGCTCGGACCAGTCTTCTTCTATGTGAAAGAATTTAACCCTTGTTACAGTTTACCCATATCCTGTTTGCTTTCTTTTTGCATTTCTTACGAATTAAATCACAGTGATGAGTTGAATTTAGTAATGCCACTGACTAAAATGACCCGAACGTGCAGAAAGCCCAATGACAGTGATGGCTTATGAGTAATAAAGTAAGGGGTTGTGCTGTTGAATATCAAATTCTCAATGGAAGAAGAAGAGCCTAAATCACAGAGCTTGAAAGAAGAAGACAATGAACCACAGAGCTTTAAAGAAGAGCCTAAATCACAGAGTTTGAAAGAAGAGCCTAAATCACAGAGCTTGGAAGAAGAAGATGCTAAATCACAGAGCTTGAAAGAAGACCTTCAATCACTGAGCTTAGAAGGTCGAGATGGTATTGCATTCCCTGGATTCAATGAAAATTCGTTGCAGTTCCTGGATTCAATAGACGGGTATTTAACCCTATTGGATTCACTGTCTTGGACACTCCGACAGGTAAAATTGGATTACATATTTCTTTTGGTTATATTCTTGCACTAACAGGGAATAGGATAACACTAAAACAGGGGTGGCTGCAATTAGCAAGTGCTCGACATTCAATGGGTGAGTCACGTGTGAGCAGTGCTGTGTTGGACCTGAAATCCCACCCAGCAAGCACATTTTTGGAAGTAACCCAGCAATCCAATCCAGGAGTTGGGCAAATTCATCATTTTACATTGCACAAATGGGCATCCTTTGACAATGACAATGAAGCTCCACTTATGGATACAAGTCCACAGATACGACAACGAAAGGATAAGGATGGAACTCCACCTCCAGTTAAAGCTGAAGCTGATCACCAGCATCAACTTCAAAAGGAGCGGTCTAAGTCACTGTTGGTGTTTGGTGGTTTGGTTTCGCCAAAGCTACGGGCAGCACAACTCTCATTCGAATCTGCACTTGATGCCCTTGTAGAGATTGCCAACATGCGGTCTTTGATGCTTTCCACTTTCCATAAGGTCAGGGAAGAAGTGGAGGCTGCCAAAGCCAAATGACGGATGCTATTTCCATGGCACGATAGACGACGTATTTTTACACCAATAGAGTATGAGCACCACCTGCGTATTTCAATCCATCAACTTTTATTTCCATTCTATTTTGCTATAGTTGCCTGATTTTGATCTTTACTACAGTTTAAGTGTATTCTATCATGGTTATCCAGTTAAGTTTGTGTCGGATTTGGAGTAGTTAACTAAAGCCCTTAATTTTCTTTCATTCATGAACTTGAATTTTTCCCCTTTATACAAAATTAAATAAAATTCGGTTTGGTAAGGTAGCGGGCCGAATTTGGCCAGTCTCAAAATGTTGCATAGCTTTGAAAAATTACCCAACTTCATCAAACAATATAATATACCAATTATTTTGTGTGGATGATTTTGGTTTCACCAACGCGACCACAACCATGTCGATGTCTACATGCGTCCCGGCAAAGCTTGGATGCTTAGCTATCTTTGTATGCTTCTAAATCCAACGGCTCTAATTTGTGTTTAAATTTTAATGGCTTTATTAAATGGACGGCCGCGATCAAATATCAAACAATTCAATTCAAATCAAATGCAACCTAAACAATGAAGTAAAAACGAGGCACACCTACCGTTGGATCAAATAACGTATAGTTTGAACGGTTGGGTGGAATTTTGAAATTTTAAGTTGATTTGCTTGTATAAAATTGGGCTAATTGGACTGGTTCTGTAGTGCAATTCCAAATTGGGCTCCACTTATACATGGGCTGGTTTCTTCTTTGTTGATTTCTTGGTTCTCCCCAATTCCTACTTCAATTCCATTCAGAAAAGAAAATATTCATAGCTACAAGAATTGAAAGCGCCAATCTTTAATTGTTATAAACATTTTAGCTTGAATTATTAATTGAATAAAATATTAATTAATAATTCACTGGAAAATGAAGAGAAAATCATTAATCTGCAATTTAGAATTAACATGTTTTACATTTCAACTCATGAGATTGAGATGATGTTAACTCATGATTCATGTTTTACCCACTCCCTGTCCATTTTTTTGTTTGAGGTAAGATCTCTCATGTGAATTACATGTTAAAGAAGTCATCCAATCTTTCCAGGTTTTACAATTTAAATGGTTGCTAGTCTCCATTAACATTATAAGTTTGTTATGTTTTACAGTTTTATTTCATCGTTTCCTTGATTTTATTTGTGGGATATTGGGGTAAACTAATCATGATTTGCTTAATGATGGTCTTGGTGGTAGTGGATGGTATTAAATTAATCAGGTCTTTAAATTTAATATTGTTTGTCAGTTTAGAATCTTATGGTTTTTTTGCTCAATATTAGTTTGGTATAAATACCGGTATCCATTTTAGTGGCAAGTAATGCGATTCATTTCAATAAATAACAAATCTTCTTTGTTCTTCCTTAGCTCGTATTTTCTTCCCTATGTCTGTATGAATTAGATCACTTTATTGTCATATGACATGTTTATAATAGAGTGGTAGTAATTCAGTCTCACACCATCGTTCATTCGATTGAGTGGAAGTCAAGGAGAATTATTGTCTAAGTGTGCGCCTCGAGTGGCTCCGAGTGAAGGCAGATATTCCCAAGCCGGAATTATTGTATGAATTATGTTCTTGTTTTTGATTGCTTGTTGCGCAATTCCTTATAATTAGTTTTTTTTTTTTTCGCTTTATAAAAAGAAAAAACAAACAATTTGTGAATGGATGTGTTCTCTATTTAATTCGGTATGCATTTACATCTGAAGTGTCCCATATTTGTTTCTTTCTTAGTTTGTTCTTAATCTGTCGCTTTCTTCCTTTCCCATTCTTACTTCAATTCAATTGAGAAAAGAAAATATAAATATGTTGGCTGGAGAAAAGGCAAAACCACCGAAAGCACGAATTTGTATGATGACGAAACTTTGAGCTTTGATCATGGATTGGGAAAAAAAAAAATTAATGAATTCACTTTGCAAAGAAAATTAACCATGCTATATATTGAATTTGAACGTGAATATTCATTCATTTCCAGTAAGATGATGAATGTGTTCTGTAAATTGTTACGCATAGGATGTCGATGAGTCTTGTACAAATAAATGGATTTGAAAATTTTATGATAAAATAACATTTATAATCATGATCACAAACCCAACGAATATAACAGAAATAAAAATTTGAGTAAGAGATAGAAATTCTGTATAATTTAGTGATGAACATGACAATACGTATAAAATAAAAATTCCTAACAAGCTAGGCAGTAGTAGGAGAACCCATGCATCGCCCAAAGAAAGAAGAAAGAGAACACCTTTGAACCACCTTATGTTCTTGCTTAGGAGGCGAAGGTAAACCTCGAGCGTAATTTGAATCAACAAACTCTCGTTCTTGAAATTTTTCGTCGAAATTTGGATGGTGTTCGAAACTTTTGACACCAGAGAAGGGAGGGCGAATTGGACCAGAGAAGGTAGGGCAAATGGGACCGGAGAAGGAAGTCGGCTTTTGATCGAATACGGGAACCCTATCCTCCCAAATGCGGCCGGAGGAGCCTTGCCTCCTAAATGACATAGATGATCTTTGCAATGAACCCATAGTTCATAAATTTCTTATTTTCTGTCTCTATCTTTCTCTTTGTCTTAGTCTCTCCCTCACGTTTAGTATGATAGGTCAAAAGCCTTTCCCTTCAACTAACATAACCGTTTTTGGTTGTTTTGGGTTATTTTGATATTTTAGGTTGTGGTAATTTCCTTATCAATTATGCCACGACTTTGTTGGGGAGCTATTGTTAAATCCCATCTAGGCCATATAAATTTAGGGTCATTTGACAGATAATGGCTTCTCAAGTTGTTAAAATGATCTTAGAAAAAGTTCCCGATTACAAATAAATCGGTACATTTGTTTCGAATGTTTATCAGTTACATAACACCGAAGCCTACAAAGATACTAGTCGGATGTCTGTAAAATTAATTATCCATAAAAAAATTTGACTTGCTTTAGAGAACAACTTAAGATGACAACAAATCTTATGGTATACTTTTATAAAAGAAACCACCATAATTTTACTTAATAATTACTACTACCATAACTGAGGACCTCTTTTTAAGCAATTGTGACCCATTAAAACCCTTTTTTTCATTACAAAATCTATATTATAAATGTCATTCTATTGAGTTATAAAATCCACACACACCAGTTGACCAGAATAATGAGTGTGCCCCATCAAGTTCGAGTCCCACAAAGACAATTCACCATGCCATTCCTCCAGCAAATCCGAGACACATTCATGATCTTTCTCAACTACAACAAAATGGGATACAGAGCAACATGGACTGGAACCCTGAAGGTGCCTTGCCTGCATTCAAGTGCTTCATGGACCTTTTGGAGCTTCTGTGTGGCACATAATAAATCCACGATAATAAAAATAAAGTATAAATGCACCCGTCATAGCAAAATGGAATAAGAAGACCAATGTATGGTGGTGGAGCTGCGGGAGGTGGGAAGCTGCCTCCATCAATTGATTCTATTTTCATCAGATTCTCCACTATGCCACTAGTAACCATGGCTGAGTAGGACACGTCTATGGTGTCGAACAAAGATAATTTTTTTCTTCAAGAAAACTTTGGTGCTGCGACCGACCAAAAACCTCTTTTGGGGAAATTGGATTCTCTAACATTTTCCAATCAAATTGGACATTAATAATTAATTCATTAAGCAAAACCTGTGATATGTGGAAGTGGATTGAGAAGATTGGACAATTCCCCCAGCATAAAATCTCACAAGTAATCTTCAAATATTAAAAATCTCTCAAAATTAGTTCTATTAGCTTTAACTTAACCACTTGGTTGTGGCTATTATTACTAAAATTATTAATTAAATGAGAATAATATGGTAAATTTACACTTTTTCATATTAAAAAAAATTTAAATAAAAATAAAAATCAAATAATGGAACACAACTACCCATTATCTTTTTTAATTCTAAAATAATTTTAACTTTTTAAAAAAAAAAAACCTATCGCAGATGCAGAAGCGCGTGCAAAGAAGCTAGTACGAAGAAGTAGTCAACCTCATCAACAAGTGATCTTCAAATATTAAAAATCTCTCAAAATTAGTTCTATTAGCTTTAACTTAACCACTTGGTTGTGGCTATTATTACTGAAATTATTAATTAAATGAGAATAATATGGTAAATTTACACTTTTTCATATTAAAAAATTTTTAAATAAAAATAAAAATCAAATAATGAAACACAACTACCCATTATCTTTTTTAATTCTAAAATAATTTTAAATTTTTTTTTAAAAAAAACCTATCGCAGACGCAGAGGCGCGTGCAAAAAGCTAGTACCAAGAAGTAGTCAACCTCATCAATTGCCCCTCAGCAACGCATTTCCCCCAACTTTCTTACGTTTCCAATTAAGAACCAATAACAACAACAACAAAAGAAACAAAAAAAGAAACTCCCCACAACAATATATTGAACTAGTCAAGGTCTTGACATCCTTATCATTTTTATCACCATTTGATGCATTCACATCAAAACCCAAGAAATAATCACTGTCATTATCACCTCATGATCATTATGAACCACATTAAATTCCCACTTGCAAAGAATTAAAAGAGAAAAAAATCATCCATATTCCTTTTATAAATATATACATCTAAAAAGCTACCACACATTGTAGATTGTACCAAAAAGTACAAAAAGAAAATTCCAAAAATTTAAGAAGGGTAAAAAAGTAAAAACAAAGTGAGACCACTAAACTCCACAAAAATTTCTAACGACATCACTATCAATTCGGAATATTATCGTCATCATCATCTTCATTCATTGTCCCGCCTTAATGGGAGGCGCTGCGCTTCCACGTCAGCCTGCGCTGAGTCGACCCGGCGGCGATCCGGGTCTTGACGCTCTCAAAGTCCGAGATCGGGCAGGGTATGGTGATCCCTCCCTTGTGCTGAAACCCGTACTCTTGTTCGGCCTCTCTCAGAAGCCGGCTGAAGAGGGGATGGTTAAAGTAAATGACGGGCACCAAAACTCGGTGAAAGTCGCCGTCTTTTTGACCCACGTACACAGCCAGGTGTCCCTTTGGAACCGTCACAGGCTTGCTTGTCTCAACCGGGTTCTGACCCAACTGTTTGTAGCCCGAACCAGGTTTGCTGCAGCAGAGAGATTTGGCTCCGGCGGACAACTTCCGGCCCCAAGTGAGCAGCTTGGACATGGGGTTGTTTCTGCAAGGCAGGGAAGAAGCCGGGTTGAGCC